CAGAGTGATGGGTTATTAACACACGTTAACAACTGAATAACGCTAATGTCATGTAGTCATACAACAATGAACGACAATAATGTCATGGATTCATACAACAATGAACGACAGTAATGTCATGTAGTCATAAAACAATGAACGACAATAATGCCATGTAGTCATACGATAATGAACGATTTTTTGCAAGCAATTTTGTTAAATAAATCAGGGAAAGCAAAGGAATAGTTGGATGTTTGCTGTAGTTTGGATTTAACAAAAAAATAAAATATACTAGAAATGTGAATCATTCAAGGTCAAGTTTGAAAAGTTATCCTTTCTGTGACACAAAATCTATAAATATGATTTCTACGTTCCGAAATCTATTGGTTCTGAAAAGGAAAATACCAACACAATGTGTTTTTATTTCGACAAAAAGATAAACAATTGATGAAAAATCATCAAAATATCTAATTTTCATTAATTCCATTATTATCAAATAGAACGTTGCTTTTTTTGTCAAGGAAGAAGTTGACAATATCGTTATGGCGGTTCATAAATATAAGTGAAAAAAAGTCAATCTATTACGTATAGATTATAACGCCTTCGGCTAGCTATACATAGGTACGCATCCAGGGAACACTAGAAAATCAATCATAAGATCATAAATAAAGTATTTAGACACAAATATATATATATATATATATACATACATACATATATATATATACCGCCACAACCATATCCGGTACAATGGTATCCAGGTATGGTTTTGATTACGTCATATCACAAACAGTAGTTACCATAGAAACATTCTGATAGACTTGCACAATACCCAGCTGACAGTTCTGGCTTAATATTATTTCAAATGATTTGATGAATCACATTCAGACAATGGATTCAAATCTAATGAATCACATTCGTTTTAAAACAAACTTGGGACTTGCACATATCTTCCGTGTTGTCGAGGACACTTTTAAAACTTGGCACTTACGATTTCAAATCAAGGGCAAAACACGTGTTCTAAATAGTATCGAAAGCAATCATGTAATAATAGATTACTTAAAAACAACATGATATACAAATGTATAATTCGAGCTTTGCAAACAATGTAATAGAATAGAAATAGTGCAGGAAGTTTTTACAGTAAATTTCGCAAGTATATACATACAGAATAAATAGCTGGTGTTACTTTTAGTAACTCACAAGGAAGGAATGTTTGTACTTGTAAACAGTTTCCGACGAGTCATATCTAGGTCATTTCATACTGCATGCGCGTATTATGTAATGTCGTATGATATACCGTCAGTATTAAACCTAATACGATAACCTTAGGTCACACTTGATACGGCTGTCGTATATTACACGTGGTGTATTTGCCTATTGTCCTTCCCAAAATCTTTTCATTACTATTTTTGAGTTATTTCATACTTCGTTATCGTTTATTCTTTCACATTATTCCTTGTTTCTTTTTGTATATACATGTATATATATATTTTGGTGGTGGTGGTGGTGATTTAGGGGCTGATTCGGGTTTTCGGAGGCCAGGGATTATGATCCCATTAGGCATTGACATTAGAACTGAAAATTGCTAAGTCATTTACCTTCCATGTAACGCAATAGTTAACGATGGCAATGACAAGGACAATATTAACATTGCAAAGAAGTAGAATTAAATGCAATCGTTTAAAAAAAAAGAAGAAAAAAAAGAGAAATTTTGATATTTTAGAGTCCATGAATTATGTATAAAATTAAATAAGGCATGTTTCATTAATGAGATTCAAAGATATCTCGACGCAACTTCCCCCGCCCCCGCACAAATATCGGTCAAAAACGAAACCACCTTAAAAGCGATAACAGTGTGGGGAGGACATTAGTATATTAGATAGCCCTGACCGGTTGTACCATGTTTATCTCACCAGGGTCACTCAGAGTGGCCTGTAACATCGACATTTGTATAAAAAGTCTTAACCGACCGAAATAAATATTTTGAAATGTTTGCATCTACTTGTTTCCTAATGACAACACACATTGCACGTTATAAATATTGACACATTCTGGACACTGTTCAAAACCTACTCAGCTTCAAGTTCAAAATTAAACGTCAAACAGACGTTATCCGAACCGTCGTTCCGACGAGTAACTGTTTGTCTCGTTTGCATATTTTTTCAAACGTTTGTGCAATCTGAGAAGATTGTTTTTTCTTTTCAGATACATTTTTTTTTTCTTTAGATTTTACTTCTTTTTTTTTTAAATCGAATCTCTAATCACAACTTTTTGGACGGATCAAACCGTTCTATTTTGCTTATGTCAGAAATTCCGCAAAAAAATAGTGTTCCGGAATAGAAAGAAAGGTGTGTAATAACGGAAACGGTTGTACGGATAATTCTAGTTCGGAAAAATCATACCAAAAATATGGATTTTTTTTTAATTCATATCAATTTGTGAAGCCAACGAAGTTTTGCGCAACAGTGTAAAAGAAGTAACACAAACTACAAAACAATGGCTGGTAATGTTGAGAATAATTTTGGGATATCGTATAATGAACAAATACTGATCAGGTGCCCTATAGTTATAATCGGTAATTGCCCTTTTTATTGAAAAAATCTACATTTAACTTACTTGGGGATAGTTTGACTATCACATTTAACTTAATTAAAGTATGTACACCATCTGTTGTATGCTTTGAGCATATTGGCAAGTAATTTGCACTCGTGTTGCCATTTGAATAAATAAAATACTTCATAAACCTTGCGTCATGTAAAGACAGCAGGCAAAATGCATATCTGATCATATGGTAAATCATGTGATTTTGCGAACACTTCCTTTCAATTTTTTTTTTACTCCAAACAGTTTATCCGTTAGGTTTTTAATTCTTAAGAAATAATAAAACACACTGTATAACTGGTTAGAATGCATACAAATCAATGGTCAGGTGATAATTGAATCAAAGATTCACTCACACTAACGCGAAAATATTTACTCCGCGAAAACAAAGTGATTAACATAAGGGTTTTGTATTAATCGACGGACAAATATGAACTACAGTTTTAACAAGTACGACTTCACAATAGCAACAACTTTCACAAAATCTGAATTAATTGAAAAATGCAAATTTTGTATTTGAAATGACAAGAAAAAAAAAGAATAAAAGATTGACAGAGAAATAAGTCTTACAATAGCTACATTTCCGCCAGGAATTTTTGTCATACTGTAAAACAGCGTAACCTCGTTATGGTGATAATTCATCGTTATCAAGTCATGCTGTAGCACAGTTTGGCCTCTTTCATCTGGCCATACTTATATCCAGCCTGACTTCGTTAGCCAGGTCTTTTGTACTACATTGTTGCCTCGTTTGTCCGGTAGTACTGTTATACAGCGGTTCCTTATTATTCTTGTTGACATTACTGTTGGAACAGTTTTATACAGCGCGACTTTGTCAGTCATGTTATGTTATAGAGTGTGACCTCATTATTCTTATTGACATACTGTTAAACAGTGTCGCCCAGTTAATTCGATCATACTGTTATACAGTGTGACCTCATTATTCTTGTTGACATACTGTTAAACAGTTTCGCCGAGTTAATTCGATCATACTGTTATACAGTGTGACCTCATTTTTCTTGTTGACATACTGTTAAACAGTGTCGCCCAGTTAGTTCGGTTATACAGCGGGACCTCCTTATTCTTGTTTTCATACTGTTATACAGTATTACATCCTTTATCCGGTCTTGTTATACAGGGTTAACTTGTAAACCCAATTAAACTGTTATTTATTGTTACTTCGTTAATCTGGTAATATTGTTATACAGTGTAAACTAGTCAATCAGGTAATACAGTGTAACCCCGATAATCCGGTTATATAAGGTCACATCGATAATCCGGAAATACAATGTAACCTCGATAATCCGGTTATACAAGGTCACATCGATAATCTGGAAATACAGTGTAACCTCAATAATCCGGTGATACAGTGTAACCTCAATTATCCGGTGATACAGTGTAACCTCGGTAATCCAGTGATACAGTGTAACTTCGGTAATCCGGTGATACAGTGACACCTCGGTAACCCGGTGATACAGTGTAACATCGGTAACCCGGTCATACAGTTTAACCTCGGTAATCCGGTCATACAGTGCAACTTCGGTTATCCCGTTAAACAATGTCACATCGGTTATCCGGTCATACAGTGTAACATCGGTAATCCGGTTAAACAGTGTAACCTCGGTAATCCGATTATAAAATGTTACTTCGATAATCCGGTCATACAGTGTAACTTCGGTTATACGGTCATACAGTGTAACCTCAGTAATCCGGTTATACAATGTAACTTCGATAATCCGTTCATACAGTGTAACTTCGGTTATACGGTCACACAGTGTAACCTCGGTAATACGGTTATACAATGTTACCTCGGTAATCCGGTTATACAATGTAACTTCGATAATCCGTTCATACAGTGTAACTTCGGTTATACGGTCATACAGTGTAACCTCTGTAATCCGGTTATACATTGTAACTTCGATCATCCGTTCATACCGTGTAACTTCGGTTATACGGTCATACAGTGTAACCTCAGTAATCCGGTTACACAATGTAACTTCGATAATCCGTTCATACAGTGTTACTTCGGTTATACGGTCATACAGTGTAACTTCAGTAATCCGGTTATACAATGTAACTTCGATCATCCGTTCATACAGTGTAACTTCGGTTATACGGTCATACAGTGTAACCTCGGTAATCCGGTTATATAATGTAACCCCGATACTCCGGTTATACAATATAAACCTCGGTAATCAAGTTCCGTTATACAGGTTCACCTTGTTCACACGGTAATACTTTTATTCAGTATAACCACATCAATCCGATAACACTGTTTTACTTTAATCCGGTTTTACGTTTATACAATCTAACATCGTTAATCCCGTCATACTGTTTTATTGTGTCCCCTCGTTAATTCGGCGAGACTTTATTAATTTTAATTTCCGTTAACTTGGTCACATTGTTATACAATGCCGCGGTGTTGATCCGGTCATAAATGATTCATAAGATTCATAATTCATTTGTTTTTAGTTCTTAATATGTCTAAAACAGTTAACACTGTGTAACAGAAAACTTCAGAACACATAACCTACACAACGAGTTTTCCGGAATACATCTAAAACGCAAATTCCCTCCATGGTTGACGGAGCGGTAAGCACTCCTCGCCAATAAATATATATACAACGAACGAAGCACAACGTAAAAACCTAACAGTACATCTGGCAATGTTTCAACGAATGTTGGTTTCATAATATAGCACGTGGTTTTCGTTAAACAAAAGAAATACATGTCAAAAACAGTATACGTCAAGAACAATTTATAAATGATAAATTGTTCAGCACAATACTATAATCGAGTATTGTCGAAACCTCATTGTGTAGTTCCCTCCGTTTCAGTCAAGTATTTCAAAACACAACAATTTTCCAGTGTTGCATACACATTTCATATCACCATAATTCCAAACACATCCTTAATCTAATGACACACATTTACTTCCTCAGTTTCGCTAGATAGTGATCACATTGATTCTGGTTAAAAATTGCTATTCAATAGGAAGTGTCGACACGACGAATTAATCACAGGCAAATTCCAGTGAGAACAAATGTGTTCGTTCACTTCCAGGCTTCGTTAAGAAAATATAATATATATCGGTTAATCAAACACTTATATGAAACGGTTGTCCACTCATTTGCATTTCTGGCATTAAAAGAAGAATCCATCCGATTCCGTCAGTTTCAAATCGAACAAATCTGAACCATGCAACATATGTCAGTATCAAGTTACACAAATCCCAACCAAAACGGTCTAGGACATATCAAACACTAGTAACCATAAGATTCTCAATCCTTCGTTACGTTCCAAAAACATTCCTCAAGAACCCTTTCCGTGTCAAATTAATATGTCACACAAAAGCTGCCGAAACGTATTGTTTTTTTCGTCAACATAATTAAACGCTCTCTGGGTATTAACAAGCACGTGTCAGTCACTGACCGTCACGTGTCTAAAACGTGTCATTCTATTGTGACCGGCTCGGCCTTGATTTGATGATGCAGTTTATGGCTGTTCAGAGGTGGGACTGGCAGATCATCATCTTCATCTGTGAAGGCGAATCTGTCAATCTCTCCGTTGGGGAGGAGGCCGTTCGTTTTTGGCGCCGTCGGTTTGTTTCCGTTAGTTGTAGGCATCTTAGAAGGACTTTTCTTTTTTATGCTCAGGTCTTGGGCCACTTCATTACTGTCATGTCTGTTTTGGTGACCGTTCCCGTTTATCAATGGGTAGGAGGATATCAAGTTCATACCGTTTAATCTTGGCGTGGTGAGAACAACAGGATTTGTCCCGTTTCGCTCTTTCGGTAATGTCTTTTCTGGGGTTTTATTCCCCTCCCTTCTTACACAATTTGTAGGAGAAGTGGTTGATGATGGGGGTGTCGGTGTATGCGGGGCATGAAATCCATTTTCTACTGAAGTAGAAGATGTTACAACAGTACTGGATACTGTCGGGCTTCTGCTAGGCTCTACCGGTTTAGCTACAGTTGGTTCTGATGTTTTTGGAAGCTCTTTGGCCTTCATGTCTGGTGATGATTTTGTAGATGATGATAAGACTGCCGACGCTGCGGCTATAGCACTTTCCTGTGATGTGGTTTTCTTGTCAATGTCTATGTCCCGTTTGCACGAAGACGTCTCCAACAATGACGTCACGGTACAGGAGAGAGATTTCTTGAACCGCTTCGCAGGGTTTGTGTAGACAGTGTAAAAAAGCTTCATGGGACCTCTCTACAAAGACAACACAAAAAATATGTATATGATATGCCAAAAAGACTTGAATTTCTCGAGATTATTTGCTATTTATTACATAATATCAGGGACACCTTAAACACGATATGGTATTCAATGGTCCAGTCCTGTGTCGGACCACATAGACCCCAAAGTATTGCCAAGCGTAGAGCGAAAATAACAATTTTGGATTTTGGAGTATGGATTATAAGGCAAAAATACAAGTTTGTATCTGGAAAGTGCTATTTACCACCAAGTAAGAAAGAAACCAGCCACCCAAGCAGAAAAGCCAGAAAAGTCTTAGCTTATCTGAACCCGTGGAAGCTACAATGCATCTTGGATTATGTGATCTTGATAACATGCCCTTGTTCTTAACGTAAACGTCATACTAAGAACCATTTAACAACAGATATGAACAATATCGTATAAATGAAATGAATATTACTGGCATTCCTGTCTTCACCAACCAGAAGCAATGAAGCTCGCCATATTGTATACAGGAATCATGGGAACAAGTTTTTACTACTGTAGGATATCCACAAAGTAATATTTACAACCACAGTAAACATTAGCAATTCATAATGGGTCAGACAGATCCTGTTTTGGACGTATGTCACACTTGTAATCTTGGATGTTTGAATCAAGATAATATGGTATAATTCATGTAGAGTGTACCGCAAATACTATGTACCGGAACAGAACAATGGTGGGTCAGAAAGGGCATAAAAAGTGTATTTTGACAGTATAACGATGTATAAATATTACTAACAGTGACCTTAACTTGAGGAACATAAAGACCCTTTTCCACAGCTACATTTAACAGTGCTGACTATGTAAAATATCAGTAATTCAGCACACTGGAAACTGAGAACTTCGGAAACGAAATTGTGGACGCAAAGAGAGACAGGTGGACAGACACCGGTATTATTTTAGGAAACCCGTATCTCTGATGCGGGACCTAACTGAATGAGAAAGAATATTTGTTTCGGATCTATGGTCTTGTCGATGGACCTTTTAGATCTTACATATACCATTCAATCCTACTAAACGTTGATTTATAGCTGATCTGTGCAATAAGGTCAGACAAAATTAATTAGAAATAAATAAGTAAGCGACAGACAACTGTGTTTAAACGAAGAACGCTTAGTAAACAGAAGCAGGACATAATTGGGAAGGAAGCAACAGTGGCCCCATCGGATTTGTACAATGTGTAAGTCACCTTTTATAGTTAGTCATCGTGATTAAAAAAAGATGCGACAGTTCCTTGGACGAAGGCAGGGACACCATTTTAGAATCACACGACAACACTGTTAACCTATGTAACTTTAGTAGACTATACCATATATTAATCTGTAAGTGTCCATTGTGGTCTAAAGTGGTGTAAGGATTAAACCAGTATTCGCACCAATCGGAGTTATTGTTTAAAGTATATGGGATGTCATAACATGTCACCCATTTCTAGCGCTCATATCGACTACGGTGTTGTTGGCTGATAAGACTGTATACAAATGTGAAAGGGTAGCAAAAGTGATAATGCAAAGCTATATTGAAATAACCTGCATGATCACTTCATAGAGCACAATAAAGTGTTTTACGATATGGTATTCTTACAGTTATACATACATATGTTGTTGTTCCAACAGCAAAGTGATGTTATCCCTTATAAGCCATTTGAAAAAGATGAACGTGACACACACACACCCTCCCCATCCCTCTCCCCAAGCACACACGCACACACACACAAACACACACGCGATAACACCTTTAAAAATTTGTATTAGATACGGTATTCAAAAAAGAATAACAACTGTCTCATACAACTGTTTCGTCCTGGGACTCATCGGTGATGCAAGGAGCCAAAAAGTTGGAAAGAAAAATTGGGCTAAACTACTGTTCAAAATAATATACAACATTTGAAACAGAAGGGGTGGTGCATGAAACCCTGTATCGTGAACCGTGCCACTTCTTAAAACTATTACAAAAAGAAACAAAAGATCTCGAAAACAAGTATTAATAAATAACCGTTTAAAAAAGATGGATTTGTTCGACTATGTAGCAATTATGCACCTTTAGAATCAACTTTACTCACCCGTCTCCATAAATATATGTATGCAACATCCATCAATGTATACTCGTCCTTAAGCGATTCATCCGTGTGGTACACATCGATCTGCAATCAGAAAAATATTTTAGGGTTTTAATTCCTTGCAACAGCCACTCTCGTATAAAGATGCGCGCATGAGAAATGCTACCGAAAAGTAAGGAAAGAGAGGAAAGAAAAGAGAAAATATGTGTTGTAATGGGAGAGCAGATCATTACTGGCTTCTTGACTGTCACTGATATTCATTGAATGATGGCCAACTGTGAGATACAATAGATTGAATTGACTCTCAAATATGATATACCGCTTATGTGTGATTATATCATAGAATCAGTTTAGTAAATTGGCCAAAAACATGAACATTTATGATAAAGTTTATTTCATATTCCGTACATGAAAGATAAACTAGCTTTTGTTACCGAAAGCTTATTATTTGACGGTTCCGATCACAATAAAATATGACGGAGACGTCATGCTATTATGAAAGCAAGACAAATATCCTTACGTAAAACTACTTCATGAAAATAAATTCAGACTGTGACAGTCTGAAAAATCCACGAGCAAGGTCTGATGAAGCCATCATAGATGTTCTTGAATAACCTAGTCCGTTAACAGTCATTTTCATACAAAGTATTACACAATGTAAAGGCATTTCATAGACATTTTCTTAATATATTTTATTTCAAAGATAAATATATTTAACATTTGCAGCATCTTCATACAGGAAAGTGCCGCACTTGTTTTGCTATAGATATGTAATCTGAAATATCTTCATCCGTTCAAGATAAATAGCAAAGTTGATTTTTTGTCCAGATGTCATACATGAAACAGTTAAGAAAAATCGAAGGGTGACAGAGGTCATTCAAGCTAAAAAACAATAGCGTATTGTTTACCTGGAATCTATCACAGAGGCTGAACTTCATTTTGATGAATTTTTTGAGATGTCCAATCGTGACAGCGGCTGGACACAATAGGTAGCGGCAATCGTGCACCTGTAATGGAAAGCAGTTAGTGAATAATAACGCAAGTTCCTTATGTTATCTTGGACCTACCACTTGGAGTCGTGGCGTATCTGCTAATTATCATATTAAATAGAAGAAAGTTTGTTATTTCTACTAAATTAGGTAAACAACCTTGTTAATAATTTTAACAAAAGACATGCTTTCTTCATTCATTTTCTTATCGTCTCGTAACAAAAACGTCTAATTGACTAATTAATTAATCGGTCAATGGTTACTGTTGATTGGTTCTCCTAATCAAACTATAAAATGCAACGCTTGCATTTTATAAACAATTTTTAAAAGAAGCTCACCATAGTCTGATAAAATGGTTACTAACTGTCCTGAATCTAACATGTTCCCTATAATCATATATTTCGCTTAAAATCATACAATTTTACTCTCGATATGAAAATAGTTGGACAACGGACAAAACAATGTCGTCTTAAATATATTCACATGCCGTCATAGTTCAATAAATGTGCGTATATATATATAAGTAGTTTGGGTGATACGACAGGGTCATCAACACATTTGTTTGTCTACTTGCTTGCTTATTGGTCCCCTACGTTAGGGACATTTGATCAAACTCGAACTGTAAGCCTAACCCTAACCCAACGGTAAAACGGTAGGCCTAACCCTAACCCAACGGTAACCCTCTCATGCATATCCTTTTTAATAATTGAGTTTATGCCTTGTATCAATATCATTCACAAAATAGAGTACTTCTACAGATATGTTTACATAATACATGAATCATTAATTAGATAACTCCTTGTCACTCCTGGAATTCTAAACTTTCAGGAAGGAGTTCTCCACCTTTATCATTCCTTTAATAGACAATTTCTTATAGTTTCAGTGACCTTTTACATGATGCAATAGCTGTTTCCAAATGTCGAATGAGAAGACTACCGAGAAAGCGATGTCCTGTACACCTAATATTTCTACTGTCGGTCTAAGATTTTCTTAGTATAATCGACAACAACAACAATCTCACAGAATACTCACATTACTGTTGATTTCCTTGCCGTTTTCTCCAAAACTTCGGCTTGGCGGTCTACCACTGTTGCGAAAAAGAAAATATACCATGATGTGATTTTTAGCCTGCTATATTCTATATCTTATCAAGTCCACCATGTGCTTCTGATGGCACCCTCATGTTTATAACATTATCCTCTCCTTGGACGTTCACAAAAAGCACGTACATTACACATTTGGCTAAATATTGCTGTCACTCAAGTTATAGTCTCGATCAGTATTTGTGTCACTTAATGTTGCTATGTTACTGTTACAAAATTTGTTTGATCTGGAACATTACATGTTAACTGCAAAAAGCGAAACACAAAAATACCATGTCTGTGTTAACATTTAAATTGAAACAATCAATTTGAAATCAAGATACCAAAATGCCATTTCAATAACATATGTACGTGTTTTTTTGTTTTTATTGTATTTTAGCACATCTGCTACCGAGTCACATTATCTTTGGAGATATTTAAATGACAAGATAAACATCATATTTATCTGAATACTTTTATTAAAGAATACTTAAGTTAGATTGACTAAATTGCTTGCTGTTCGTATGACATTGAAAATGCGTACATACAATATAAAATCAATTAAATTTAATTGTGCTTGATAAACAAAACGTTTTAACAGGCGAATTTGATATATTTTGTTATACTATGTTATAAGGATTAAATTGTCATTGTTGTTTTATTTATAATGAATAAACAACAATCAACTTGCAAATAAGCCAAAGGTTATATTTCCGTATAAATGAAGACCGCTACGTACTTGATACTGAGCTGTAGGGCCAGGCTTATTTGTTCATCCTCTGAGTAGATGACTCGTTCTCTCTGTTCTTCTTCTTCATCCTCTCCGATACACGTTCCAGGGCTTCGAGCCTTACCCCGTAACTCCAGGGCTGCATTAGCTAGTAATGAAATAGACATTATTATGTTTGTATTTTTTATTTCGGTTTATGGTTACCATCGTTTAACAGTATATCTTGCAGTGTTATTGATATATTAAATATCTAATACACTTGTTGCTGCAATTAACAGCTCCTTTTTGTAAAGTTATATAATCACGTATTCAGGTAAATGGAGTTAATTATACAAAAGGGAAAAAAGTCTCACAACTGGAATATTTTATCTTTCAAATTTTGCGTTTAGATGGAAATAGGAATTATCAAATATAGGACAACTTATACATGAAGTATCAATAAAAAGACTTATACAATCAGCAATATATTTTTAATTCCTACCATCGTTTGGTTGATCCTTATAGAATTCTCGCCGTCTCGTCATTTCGTCTGCAATAGAAAAAAACGTATACAATAAAAATTGATAATTATTTGAATGTAGTAAAAACGGCTTTTTTAAACTTCTTATTAATTTCCTGAAAAAAAATATTGAAATCGAGCTCCGACAATATCGACCTACTTATATAAGGCAGTTCATGGCGTATATGCTAAACGTGGAGACATCCTATTTTTAATTGCAGATGTCGGTCAAAGTTTTCATAAATATTATTCTGATATGTCTACAAAGCATGAATTATCATTCCGTTATTAGGCCCCACTTTGATATTCATGCCATTAAAACGTTAAAGAAATCCTTCTTCAAAAAACTGAAGTATTTATGCATGTGGCGTTTGGTTTCTACTGGTTTCACTGTATGGAATTTACCTTCCTTGTGTTCATATTGAACAAAATTCTCCCATCACGACTAAGAATAGATAGTATGAATATTTCAGTAAATTCAATGTTAATATGTATGGATAAAACGTTGTTGGTTAAATAACTAAAACAATGATCACACAAGCCATGAACTACCTCTATATACACAGCTATGTTCAGGCAGCAGCAACATGCCTCGTTTTGAAATACTAGTGCATTAAGTTTTATGTGATCACATTGACGTCACACACATGCCATTAACTGATGCTGCTGCACTGATACATCGCTCGACATATTCCACTCCACATCACATCGACACCGAGATATAAATGCATCTTCTGCCTTTTTCTGCTGATTGATATGAAACGACTGTAGTACCACACACGTCTGTGTCAAGTGATAATTACGTCAGTACTATACACCGACATTACACTGTATCTCAGAAGTATTGTGACTTACAATCAAAGCTAGCGTGTAATGTGTACGACGTGTAATCAGTGGCATTGCTATAACTAGTAAAAGTGTTGTTCCACACGAATATGTGTTGATGCATTTTAAGGAATATATGAACACACAGGAATATATGAACACATAGGAATCTATGAACACACACGCATTATCCAGGGATGATTATTTCTTTCTGTAACATAAGGCTTCAGTGCGGTATATCAACTACAATATAATTTAATGTTTTTACTTTTTACATTTTTACATACAATGTATCACGGGTCAGCGCTACTTATAAAGGGACCTGAAATAATGTCAGTACTGCAGTACGCTACTGTTTAAGTGAAAAAAATAATTAAGCATTATTTTTGATGGTAAAAAACTTGAACAATTAACTATCTGATGCTATTAGACTAACAATAGACGTGCATGTTGACAGCAGTTAAATAAACTAAAGATATGTTAACATAATTGTAAGGCACTTAATCCATTTTTAAGATAATGTCAATGTAAATGTATGATACAGGACACTCACCTTTGAATAAACCTGGTACTAGTTTGTACACAATGTCCTGTAAGGTGTGATCCAACCTGAAACAACAGTGGAAATCAGCACGTGATATGCATTATGTAAATGACATACTCCAAGTTGTCATCAACTATGATAATATGAGACTGTACACGTGACACTTATGTTTATGACATTATTCCATATATTTATTGAATGTACATAATAATAATAACAAAAAGTCCATCACACTTAAAATTCGACCAAATGCTAATAACAATAAAATATTACTTCTCTTGAACTTGTTCTGAATAAATGATGTTTTGTTTTATTAAATCTTGCAATTCATACAGCGGAGTATCGTTATTAAGGCCACCCTAGATCCAAATGAAAAATGGCGCGATACTGATACGGTCATGTTACTGAATACTGTTTCGAAAAGCAAATGATGACTACTGCGACAACCAGACTAGTAGTGGCTGGTATACCGGAAACACTTATTACACGGCTAGTTATACAAAATGGAACGAATATTATAACATTCAAGCTACCTTATAGCATCGGCCCGGTTTTTTAATTAGCGCCGAGTATTCGACTTCTAGAAGAGCGAGTACAGTCCGTTGTTTTGTGCAGTCGACTCCTGACGAAGCCAGAAAAATGCATTGAAAATCTCAAATTAGACACACTCGCTCCGAGGCAGTGAAAACCAAAATAGACCCTTCCTCTTCTGTTCTGTGTTGAATTACTTCCAAACGATCGTCTGCTTTTGTAGTCACACGGCGCGTGCTCGCGCGTGGGCTTCTCTCACGCACGCGCTGCTTTGTATGGTTTGTGAAATCTGAACTTAATGTCAATATTAATATTTCATCCGAGTGTAATTACTGTAGAGAGAGAGAGTAGGACTACGGAATTCAAATGACACTACATCCGATTTTTGACATTTATTGACGGTAGACACGTACCATATCTAATACAGCATAGGTGGGGCACTGTAACTTATATCTCGGAATAACAAAGGGCAACATATTCAGATACGTTATTTATGTGTGTACGTGTAAGCTAGTAAATCAGTGACGTAACACATTGAATAACATTATCACAAGCATAGCGTTGTACCTATGCTGGGAATGATGTTTACATCTCCACTTACTGTAGATGTATATATAGTATGTCTGCTGATATTGGCCCAACTGTTGTGTATCATGTATCATAATAATTTAAAGCTCTGCATAATATTTCAAGTTTTGAATGCATTTCTTTTTAAAATGTATATCGATATATTAAAATTTATAGATATGTGAATATGTTACTGTTAAGCGGTGTTTTATCACCATTGTAATAAAACGTATTTTCTTTTTATCATTGAATATAAATTATATATATTCATGTTTGCAAGAGATACGAATCTGTTTACGCTCGGTAAAGTAATCTATAGCCAATTCCCCTAACACCATACCAACGATCATGACAAAACAAAAAAACTCAAATTCGGTATGTAATAATCCAAATCTTGAATCACGGCAAGACCTTACCTCAAGAACCTTTTTAACCTTATATAAACACACAGGCCTTATTATGCTTAACCGTAATACAGTCCAAAGTAACATACCATATGTTTTAATCAACTGTCTTGTAAACAACTCTGCATGCAAAACTGTGTATTCAAAACAATACCAAAACTACAGACAATTTGTTTTCTAATAACCACAAGAAATAATAAACAAGTGTCATTTTGAAAACCTGTTAGTACTTTTACATTAAATCAACTTTAAAAAGTGGGACCTTCTGCAGAAATCAGTATTTTGGTGTACATTTTTCTCTTTCTTTTTCCCTTTTTTCTTCTTCTTCAATTTGACTCAAAGAATAAGCACCGGATTTTACATTATTACATATTTACCGAATATTAATGGAAGGTTTTTTTTTGTACACTAGGTCGTATTGGAACTTACCTTATATTTAACAGAGGCTTCGTCTTGTGGACTTGTACATCGCAGATAGGACAGAACTTACTGCTCTCCAAGTACCGGACAATGCACGTCTTACAAACTGAAAACAAGGACAGAAATAAAATAAGGTACGGTGCCGCCTTAATACAAAATTTACGGTATACAACGTAACACTAAATATTTGCTTTACAGTATAATCTGTGCATATTTAAAGTAAGGATATAATAGCAAAAAAATACCACAAACAGTACACTCACTTGGGCATTTATGATATTGAAATCATTCTTTACCAGAACCACAAAAATGTTCCATGTTTCCTTTTTTATGTATTGAAAAGTATCTTGGTTATTGTGAAAACCAGTTATTCAGATGTTATTTGAAATGCCTAAAGAATTTCAATATGAATACAAGTTCGGTCTTTCAGCGACACAGAGTTCGTATCTATAACAATAAGTGATCCATTTTTTAACAATGATAGGTTTCGGCACACTGGCTAATGACAAAAATCCCATTCCCGATAAATTAGTGCACAGAAGTTAAACTTCTGCAAACGACTATCTCGGTATACTGTTACTCTTCCTCGCAGTGTTCCTGTATTAGCAATCGTCTCCTGCTGTCATCGGGTTAGCGACGGATACCGTCTACTGCGGATAATGTTTCTTTTATAATCGATATTTGCATGTTTCAAAATCGACAATAAGCGAAGAAAGACCATGAGAGAAATACCAGCTTTCTCAATTGCTGATGATTTGTCAAAATGTCTGTATGAAATGCCTCCCTCGAGAATCTGCCCCTGCAGATAAAGCACGGGAAACGTGTAAAAGCGGTCGATATTCGCTTCACGGATGCTTTCAGAGGAGTTCCTCACTACAGTCTGTTGTAAATGTCAATCATTCATGAATTCGTTTATTACTCTTGAATAATAAATTATTTAGCATTGAAAGCAATACTATGTTCTCGCGATGCCTGGCGAACTTGACGGGCCGACTTGAGACCATTCGGCTTTTAGTATTTTTTTGTATCTATTTTTATTCTTCATTAACCATTCAAGTATATAACAAGATGCTTGCATTCCCAATGCTGTAGCCGTATTCATTATTGGCCCAAAGCTGGTAAAGATTATTAGACAAACTCTGAACTATATATATATATTTATTTGTTTAAAACAAGGCTGAAATTTACGATATCTTCAAATGAACATACACGTATGCAGTTTTATGAAATTAAAATCAATATGGACATAATAAAAGGATATTGTTGATGATGATGCATATTGTAATGATATATATATATATATTTATAAATATAGTTTATTTTTCATTTTGTAATATTGTTTGATTTCTCTGCATAATTATTTCTTCTTCTTTTGTTTTCAAATTGAATCCAAACAACAACCTACTTTAGATTTGTCATTGCCACTTTTTTTTATCATGATATATATATTTATATATATACATTACAGCAACATGAAAAATATTAAAAAGTCATTATTTTGACGAGTGTTTGATGTTAAAAAGAATGATATCACTGTATCATATCAACAAAAACACAAGCACTAAATTGAATACCTGATGGATAATCACTGGGTAACATGTGAAAAGAAAATGACATCTTTTGTTATTGGTTAATCTAGTTATATATGTTTACAACCAAAGGCAAATTTCAACAATAACGATAAGGTAAGTTAACGTTACGTGACGTCATAGAGTGGTATCTTAACGTATGTCAGTTGAAAACCTAAGAAGAAATCCAAATTTGCCAGGAACAAGACAACAAACTGCTTGGTATGTCTTTCATATTATCGGAAGCGTTTTGTTGCCTTTACAAGAATGTGTTTACCAGGATAATGCGTACATTTACTATACAAATCAATATTTTAGGTTGATTTAAATCAACTTATACCATTTCTTAATATAAACTATGACCGATAGCTCGCCCGCTTACATGTTTTAGATGATTATTAATGAGATACATAATCTTTAATATATATTTCTTTAATATATACAATAACAATGCGTCAATAACATTAAAATATTTGGAAAGTAAAATTACCTTCATATTTCCTGATATTTTATAAACAGCTGCACCATATCTCATAGCAGGAATATTCAAATTTTCATTCTAGAATGATTCTCACAAACACATATGCGTTCATGTGTACTTTAAGTAAATACAGATGTACGTGGAAATAACGTGAAAATGATGTAGAATCATAATGTTATATCTACAACGTGATGTATCAATTCGCAACAGGGTATTCATATTTGTGTTGATTAACTTAATTAGAAGTTTACTTATATTGTTGATTAACTTAATTAGAAGTTTACTTATATTGTTGATTAACTTAATTAGAAGTTTACTTATATTGTTGATTAACTTAATTAGAAGTTTACTTATATTGTTGATTAACTTAATTAGAAGTTTACTTATATTGTTGATTAACTTAATTAGAAGTTTACTTATATTGTTGATTAACTTAATTAGAAGTTTACTTATATTGTTGATTAACTTAATTAGAAGTTTACTTATATTGTTGATTAACTTAATTAGAAGTTTACTTATATTGTTGATTAACTTAATTAGAAGTTTACTTATATTGTTGATTAACTTAATTAGAAGTTTACTTATATTGTTGATTAACTTAATTAGAAGTTTACTTATATTGTTGATTAACTTAATTAGAAGTTTACTTATATTTTTATCGCAGTGAAAAATACTCACACACATACCAGTAGTTTTAAGCAACGAAATTCATTTATACAATGTTTATATAGTAATTCACAGTTAGTTATATTGACTGTTGGATTATTATTGAAGGCTTTCTTGGGACTTTGGTTTGCTTGCATTTCTTTTTAACATTTTACTGTATTTTTCATCTAATGGTTATGTTTTAATCGTTATGGTTTATTTTGAAATAAGTGTCCAATAGTTATCTGCAATATCAATTTAACTGAGATTGACTTTAAACTCAACATTTATATCACATTCAAACATGATACATAACGCATGTGACAATGCCTAATTACAGGTAAATATTTGATGTATCCGTATTCCATGTAAATAAATGATTGATTGAAATAGATAATGCGATATTGTCAATCAATTAGCTTCCAAACGTGACATTAAGTACACGTTAATGCGTGCATTAAGGACAGATCAAATATCGGTTATTGTCTAGTAGTTATAATATATGTAACTTATATTGTGGGCAAAATATATAGTAATGGAACCACACACACACACACATATATATACATATATATATATAACCATATTTGTATGTATTGAAAGGAACATACAACACTATAAGCACAGACGTTTAATACGCAAATCAATTGTTACATAAATGTAAGGTCGTAGTACGCAATAACCTTTTACTAAATATAATGGGAGCAAAAGTTCCTAACAGACACACATATATCTGTAGTTAACCGCAAAATGAAAACTTATCCCAAAATATGCTGAAACCTATATCACAAAAATCATTATATTCATATTCTCACGACTATTACATGTGTTCGGGTGTGCGGTACAGGAAATTAATACACTGTCTCCATGTGACATGCTAGGATTGTGGTATGCATAGAAATGTCGTTATTACAAAAATTCCCACTGAGCGACATGAATTGAGGTTTGTTAATACTGTTACAACATGTTATGGACCAGAAACAACTGTTAAATATAGGAATAACTCATGCTGTGAGAGGCATGATCAGACTCGAGTAGAAAAGCTCAAAGTTAAAGCTGTAAATACATGTTCCTTATGCGTGCCTTTATAATCTTATTTATCTTCCGAAGCATTCAAACTTTCAATGTAAATCGTTATTGGAAGTAGAAAAAATGATATTATTTTCATTCTATTCAATTAATAACATTTGTAACCAATAACGTATGACGATGAGAATCCTATCCTACACTGACTGCCGTGACCACGTGTGTAAAACGATTAAATATTCTCTTTCTCGCTAAATCAAACACAGCGGTGATTTACAAACGATTAAACAGCTCTACCACTCATACATAGAGTCCATAACCCGTTATAAACTTGGTATGGTCGACATTTTATTTGATATCCAGCGCTATAGTTAACATCTTTATCTTCATACTGTTCATACTTCATCTTCGTACTTGGACATTACATTATTTTCGTCGTTACCAAATTTCGTGGACTGATGGCAATATACTTCTACCAGTGGTGGTGCCAAGCAGAATCAATACGAATTAATGATATTTTGTTGGGACTCCTAGATCGTGGATGGTGTATTCTCAGAAATCCACGAAAATGAATACCCCACAAATTATTGTGAATATACAGAATAGGTTAACCAAAAGTGGGTGAAATCAATGGGATGTGTTTTATTCAGTCATAGCAGGCTATATATTGAAAAAACATGTTTAGATATCATCTGCATTATTTTAAGATAATTTTTGAATATTCAAACAAAGTCCATTTGGCTTCTTGGCTTGAAATGAACATTTGATCGAAGTCTATTTGGTTACCTGTAAGTAGTGTATATGATGTTAAAAATGTTTACTAACATTTGTTTATGGAACATATTTAGCTAAATTCCAACACTATTGCATTTGTACAATAACCCTAATCGATTGATTATAGCATAATGCTTAATAAATCGGCGTTGGCGACATTGTGTCGATTGAAATCTATTACATGTTACAAAGCATATAAGATCCATGAAATAGTCAATATATGTATCGTCTAATTATCTACTATGTAAAAGATGCAAAACTGATAAATGCTAAATGCATCATGTTCAACTCAGTTTTCGAGAGATATGTTTTGCTGACATAAAAGTGCAAAAAGGTGTTAAATGTATATATAAATCTGATTAAACATGCATATTTGCCAATTTAATTGCTTGCTCTGCTTATCTATGATCTCGTGCATTAATCTTCACATTCACGTAAAACAAATTGAATTTGAGAATCCTTCGTACAACGAATATCACGAATATGATAATGCCGGGAAATTACACTTAATAAGGTATATACACAGTATAACAGAGAAATTGTATCATTGCGTTTTTGCCTCGTTTCATTCCATTTTTAGTTGCGTTTTCATTGCGTTTTCATTCACCTCCG